CCAACCTGTATGTATATTCAACCTATTAAATTTTAATTTTAAATGAGTTCATAAGATGTAATAATTTGTTTACGAATTTGGACAAATTTAAACAAATTTTAAAATGTTCAAATTGGATGAGTCTAATTCAAAATGGGTCTTGTCATTTACAATTTGAATATATTTTTTCAATACTAACATCAGCCCATAAAAGTTGTTTTTAATATTTTCCATTTGAAATTACCAAGTGGCATTTGAATAACAATATCTCAAGTTACTTTTTTCAAAAATCTGACCTTACAAACTCTCTTTTTTTCTTCCTAGATTTTCCTTTAAGGGAAGAGGGAGATGGCAGTGGTTCTCCCATTTCTCCGATCTCCCTCTTCTTTCTCTCTTTTCGATCCTCCCCTAGATTGGTTATTTGCCTCACCAATCTGGCCATCACCGCCTTACCTTCTCCACCCTATAACCCAAAACTTTAAGATCTGACTTCAGGTCTTCTCACAATCCGAAGGCCGAAGCTGGATAACATGTTTATTTCACACTCGGTGACCACCTCAACCTCAATAATCTATCTTGACCAATGGAGGTGGGGTCTTTAGATTCCAAGTTGAAGGTTGCAGAGGAGTGGAGTTTTGGATGAATTTGGTGATGACTTGGATTTGATTTTTTTCTATTTGATTTTTTTTTTAACGTTTAGTTTGTAAATGTAGTAATCCGTTTTGCATGGAGATTTGTTTCTCTTTCTTGTGAGAGCCTTTTCTACACTGTAGAAGTTTGGATCCTTCCTTCTATAGAGGTTTTTATTTATTTTTTAGATCTTGTAATACCGCTGTACCAAATTGATCTGATCTTTTATCAGTTTTATAATAAAAAATTTCTTCCCAATTAAAAAAAAAAACAAAAACTCTGACCCTACAACCACAACTTGTCTATCATTGTCATCTATATTTTTCTTTACATAGAATTAATAATTAGACTAGATACAGAAAACTTGACTATTAGTCCCCATTTGATAGCCGTGTTAAGTGTGATTGACAATGATATCATTAGGCTCCCATGGGTCCACACGCTTTTTTTTTAATATCATGTTTGTTTTAATGTTGGATGGGGATGTTGATAGTATAGTATCGAGCTCTAAATCTAATGATAAGGGAGAGTGAGAGGATCATTTTAAGGAAAGATATTAGAGTGGGAAGAAAACTTAAATGGACATAAGATGTAATGCTGCAAAAATATAGTATAATTTTATTGAATTTAACAGAATATATAACACTTGATAGAGCTAAATGGACAAAAATAATTCATATAGCCACCTCACTTGATTGGAATACAAGACTTAATTTGGTTTGAAATTTTTTAAGGTAGTGTTTGGTTCACTAGAATAGAGTGAAACAAAATAGTCATTCCATCAAAATATTCATTCACATGTTTGGTTGGCGAAAATAAATAAATAAATAAAAATGAAAAATACATTGCAAATATAATCATCATATACCATTACAAGGGAATCATTCTATAAGGGAGCTTAAGGAATTACCATTCCATTCTATTCCTTCTCATTCCATTAAACCAAATACCGCATGATAATATAATATTGTTAATTTTGTGGAGGTTAAGTTAATCCTGTGATCATGGAATTAGCCACATCACTCCATCCAATAATCAAAAATAATTTTCTTTCTCTCATCTTAATGTTTGCTTGAGTATTGTATTAGATGTGAAAAGCGTTTGTATGACTGTTAATCCTTGAATCATCAATCCCTTCGAATCATATATCCTATCCAATGTCTTAAAATTATGAGCAAAAATTGACAAAAAATGTATTAATTTTATAATTTAAATAATTAGTTTAAACCTGCTCATAATTTCTCATTTTGTATCTCATCCCTTTTGGAATTCAATAGTTTTCCATAAAGAAATACCATGTCCAAGTAGATGATTAGTATATTTTACAGGAATATTAATTTAATGCTAGGCCATATCTCCCCAAACACCCATGACCAACTGAAACATAGTACCAATATACATAATCCTAACCTTTACCCTATATATTATTAATTTCAAAACCTTAATCCCATGACATCATTAATTCCCAACAGTGTCAAAAAAATCTATATCCATATTCAAGGGTTGAGTTTCTCTTAAATTTGAATTTGAAAGAATTTAATGAGCTCGTAAGGCTCATCATGTATCCCATTTTAATGATTTAAATCATTCATTTTGTAGGATTCTCTACATATATCATTTATAGAAGAAAAAAAAAATAAGTCAATTTAAAAATCATATTCTCTTCATTTGTAATTTTTTCTATTAATAATATACACGGAACTTATAAAATTAACAATTCAAATTATAAAAACGAGCCCCGTGATAATTTCACCAACCCCTCAAGTTCAAGTCCAAATGAAAGGGGAAGAGGGTTTTGTCATTGCTCAAACCCATGACTTGGAAAAACGGACTGCAACAAAATGAGACGTAATTATCATGCTATACTCTGTCACAAACCAACTATATCCCACCAATCTTCTTTTATTATTCCTCAGCTTACCCATTTTCTATGACTGACTTTTTCTTTGCACCAGAAAGTTCAACCTTGTAGAAAAAAACACTCCACACACAAACACATACCATGTCCCTTCCAAAAAAAACTCCTTTAAAATTTCCCCCAACACCACATTCAACAACAACATATCAGTATCAAAAACTAGCCATGATTACCCTCTTCTTGATTGCCTTGTTGGTTTCATCCATACCCTTCTCTTTTGCTGATCCCGACCCGTTACAGGACTTCTGTATTGCAGACCTGGAAGCTCAACCTTCCATCAATGGCTTCCCCTGCAAACCCGCCTCCAGCGTGACCTCTGACGACTTCTTCTTCGATGGTCTGAGCAAGGAAGGAAACACAGGAAACGTATTCGGAGCAAATGTCACAGCAGGAAATGTTCGTGCATTTCCCGGGCTCAACACGTTGGGACTATCAATGAACCGGGTTGACTTGGCTCCAGGAGCAGTCAACCCACCTCATATTCACCCCCGCTCGACGGAGTTGGTTTTGGTGATCAAAGGAAAGCTACTTGTAGGGTTTGTGACGACTGGGAATGTTTTTCATTCCAAGGTTGTGACTCGCGGCAAGCTTTTCGTGATTCCGAGAGGGCTTGTGCATTTTCAGAAGAATGTTGGGAAGGGAAAGGCCTTGGCTTTTACGGCTTTCGATAGTCAGTTGCCAGGAGTGGTGAACTTACCATTGACTCTCTTCGGTTCTACACCGCCGATTCCTAATGATGTGCTGATTAAAGGTTTCCAAGTAGATGAAGATGTTGTCAAAGGAATAAAATCCAAGTTTGGCAACTAGGCTATTTTTTGGATAAGTTGGTGTGTATTTTTATCAAACAAGTAGGTGATTTGTGGGGATGATTCATTTATTCTTCCCTTTGCTCTTTTGATTTGCTTGTATCACAATTGTATTTTCTTTTTTTCTTTTTATTTATTTTATGTTTATACTCAATATTAAAGAAGAGCAATTATTCATAGTTCTAAATTTACACGAGTGAGACTCACTATCACATAAGTAGAACTCTCATTAGAATTTTACTTTTAGTACTCTTAAACATTTTTGATTGAAGAATACATCCAAGGTCAGATTCTTCTCCAACAAGTCTACTCACGATTCCAAATTTTGTGAATTAGATTGACCAAACAAACAAAAAAAATGGAAAAAGATTGCCCACCTACTCTCGTTTTAAACCCTACTAGCTATGACTTTTTATGACATCCAGCTAAAATGGGTTCTAGAAACAGAAACTCTAACCCAACAAAAGGGTCAAGAAAATTACGAAGAAGGTGTGTGAATGAGATTTATTTTGGGAAGATGATTAAAATTTAATTTTTTTGTTTTGTTTAAATTTTTTTGGAAAAAATGTGTAAAAAATGTAAGAAATAATGTGACTCAAAATGAGTTAAAAACTGAAAGATGATTTTTAATCATCTTCCTAAAATAATCCAATTGGTGTATTGTAAGATTCATGTATATCATACATTATTGTTTCTGAGTAAAATTCTAAGTAAATTTTGTGAATATGTAGTCTCACTATTCTAGAAAAAGAACAGCCAGAATGAGAACTGATATCAAAGAGGGCTACTTTTGGCACACAAAACTACCTTCAAAAAAAAAGAGGAAGGCAAGGTCATATTGTATAATCTTTGGTTTGTTCTGTTGAGAAATTAAAGAATTTGATATACATTGTTAGTCCCAATCTTGACAGTTGAAGGATTTAGAACAATTAGTAACTCAACAAGGTACAAAATTCCAGTTGAGAAAATTTTTGAATTCAAGTCTCTGTGTTGGCCTTTATATTCGTTTACCATTTAGTTTCTCTTCTTTTCTCTTTGTCAACTTCTCTTTCTATTTGGTTAAATTACACTAAACTCTCTTAAAATTTCAAAAAAATACAATATGCTTCACAAGTTTTGCATAATTATATTAGGCTCGTTAAGATTGTAATTCTAATACGTAACTTTCTTTTCATTAGTAATTCATTAATCATATAAATAGAAAATTGATGATGTCATCTATTTACACTAAAATATATGTTTTATCTTATATATATTTGCATTTTCACATCATCTACATTAATTCCGGTCTTTTTGACCTACTAAAAAAGATATTGGTATAATTATACCAAAACTAGAAGACTCTAGAAAAAAAATCTTGAGGTAGGGCGACAGTGTAATTACCTTGGGAAAAAAAAAAATTACAAGGTGGTCAACTACACCATTAAAAACAAATAGATAAATTACAAAGGGGTCTTATTACACGGGCATTTGAAATTAGTTCATCAAGCAATTCACAAGGTCACTTTTTGGCCAAAAATAATAGTAACCTCAAATTTTCTTAGCATTTTACGAGGGATATGACAATTTTTTCATCAGTCTTCTCTTTAAGATTTGGTGCTTAATCCACAGCCCGTTCAAAATGAATGGATTTTTTTGTATCAGCTGATTAAAATGATGAAGCAGGGTTAGGAAACAGTCCTCTGATTATATAAATTTCAAGTAGTACAATCACCCTAACAAACTGTTCAGAACCAATACAATGAATTACAGTAAATTAATAAGTTAGATGATACAGAATGAAGACAGCAATTTTCTACACAAAATATGGTATTTCTTCTGATTACAAATTTAAGAATGTGTCATAGGTAGAGAAAAAACTCACTGCACTATGATGTGGAAACCATTAATAAAACTCATCTTTGATTAAAGATGATGAGTGAAATGGATGACTAATATGCTGCTTGATTCCCTAGTTTTCATATCACGTTTCTCTGTCAAAGCTACTACCAACCTGCATGTGAAGCCATTCAGGTTGCGATCCTTGCATATATTCCCTTGTTGCTTGTGATCCCAAAAGCATTCCAGTCGAGTCAAATGTTGCTGCCCCTAGCTGAACACCACCGGATTTATTCAGTCAGAAGAATATTAAAAAAAAGGGTAAACAAGAATAGCATCTGAAATATATATTCTGTTCATGAGAATAAGAAAAGCAAATCACAACTCTTAATGGGATATGGCATATAAATAACATCTACCTACAGGGAAATTAGTTAATACTTAATAATAGGAGAAAACCATGTTGATGCACTTGTGAAATTAATGAAATTAAGCTACTACCAACTAATCTCCCACCAATCTACTTTTATTATTCCTTAGTTTATCCATTTTCTATGACTGACTTTTCTTTGCACCAGAAGTTCAACCTTGTAGAAAAAAACACACCACACAAATACAAAATATCATGTCCCTTCCCAAAAAACTCCCCTATAAAACCACACCCAACACCACATTCGACAACAACATAACAGTATAAAAAACTAGCCATGATTACCCTCTTCTTCATACAACTTTACTTGCTGATACACACGTTTTATTTAACAATCACATTTATTTAAGTTTAAAATGGTTTTTGATGGGTTTTGTTTAATTTTAAAAATATGGTCCAAATGTCCTCTTTTTTTATCCTGGTTTTAAGTAATTATAAACAAAGTTTTACATATTTTCTTTCAACAATTAATAATTGTGTCATAATAAATTCATAATGCACTACTATACTATTATGTATAAGAAAATGCTACTATGTGTACCCTTAAAAAGGTGCATACCGTAACAATAGTTATGATTTTTGTTGTGAAAGTTATGAATGGTGAACTTATGTTGTGCACCCTAAAGTTATGAATATCAAAGTCATTATGCTTTTTTGTGGTAAAAGTAATATTTTTTGTGATGAACAAAAGGATATTTTTTGTGATGAGCAAAAAGTTAATACTTTTTTGGTAAAAGTTAACATTTTGTATAAGATGCATACCATATGCACCTTTTTGGGGTGCACATGGTAGCCTTTCCCGTATGTATTTTGTTACTAATAGTTTATAGACTTGTAGTGTCGGGTTTCAAACTTGTAGAAATAAAAGATATGGAAAATGCAAGTTGTTAGTGTTGAAAAATGTATTGAAATGTGTAAAAGATCTGTAAAAATATATAAAAGTGTTTTGGGATATTTGAAAAGCGTATTGGGATTATTAATATTTTGACATTTTGTGTTCCTTATTGACAGCCATTAGGGCTATCATTAGCAGCATCCAAATGATATTAGTGACACAAATCCTACCTCAACATAGAAGATCTAAGAATAACAAATCTACAAGGAATCAATTGGGGACAAAAACAAAAGCCAAAAAAAAAAAAAGAAGATGATCTAACCTTATTTGTGAACTTTGGGTTGACGATCAAGGTATGAGAATTGGTGAAAATTGGTGACTCCAATCTTGTAAATCTAGATTTTTCAGAGGCCAACAGTGTGTTTTGTATGAGATCGAGAAGCTGAAAGGCAAAAACTTGAGCTTTTATGTAGTGAGGAGCCAACTGTGTTGTTATGATAGGCATAATGGTCGTAACAATCATTACAACTATGATTTTTATTCCCATCGATATTGTAGTTGTGACAAGTCACAGAGGTGACTTATAATGTTACATAACAACTGCTTTTCAAAAGCTTGCTAATAAGTTAACTAATGCATTGCACTCGTAAGTAACAAGAATAAAAGGAGAAAGTGATGGAGGGAAAAGAAAAAGAAAAGGAGGGAGTGAAGGGGAAAAGGAAGGAGACAATTTATAAGAATAATAGGGCAGCACCAATTTATAAGCATAACCATAAACCTAAGAACCACGGATACTTCGAAAAAGATGTGTCTGTGTCATGTTCGTATTCGTGTCCCAACACTGACAGTGACACTTCCCCATGTGTCAGACACACATCCAAATGTGTCATTCTAAATTTTTTTGTAGACCCAGTCAAACTTTGGATACTGGTGTCCATCGCTTAGACACACATAGAACACATTATAAGTTTGCACAAAATAACTTACAAAATATAATGATTAAAGAAAACAATGCAGCTTTATACATATTAATCTTTCTTCCTTTAAACTTCAGAAATTAGTGTTATTTTGCATTTCTCATAATCTTTGAATAAAATATTCATATATTATCATTTCCCCAAAACAAGGGTGAAGATAAAATTATAGGAAGTGTAATTGAAGAGGAAGTATAGAAGGAAACAAGGCACGCCCTTTGTATTGAACTACTAAATAGAAAGAAAAGGACAAGTAATAAAAATTTGGTCAATCACTCCAATATATTTTGGGACACTTACTAATTAGTCCTATTAATTAGACTTATTTACTTGCAGATCTTGACTAATAAATTTATTACTATAAATTTATTCATAAAAATAAGAAAAATTGATAAATTTATCCATAGGACTTGATGGGTAATAAATCCCCAAAATAGGACTATTGGTAATTTGCCCATATAGTTTTTAGATGTCCAATCCTGGGAAGTTCTGCACTTTCAGAATTAGCCAACTAGGAGGTGCTACAATATTATCATGAAAATTTTGGTTGAACTGATCATCTAGTTTTGCATTGCATTTTTCTTTTTCGTTTGTTTTTTTAATAAACATTTCAAAAATCCAAAAGTTTTACATAAGAATTGATTATCAATAAATGTTTGACCACATTTTAAGAAATTCAAAATAATGCTAGGCATAAAGAGCATAGAAAAAGCAAATTTGTTGTTCACAAATCAGACAACACAAGTGACGATTCTACATTTCCATAATTCATTTCAAATCATTCGTACTTATCATGACTTTTTGCAAACTATTAATTTAGAGCGGATAGAAAATATGATAAAATGTTTAGGATGAGCAAAATTGCAATCAAGACTTTCAAACACTTGATGTTAAGTATTGAATAGTTTACAACAGAAGTAGATCAATCCACATTGTAAATGATAAAAAAGGATAAACAAAAATAGTAATGCATAATAAGTGTGCTCCAGAAGCATCCAGGCCAACTGAATTAAGGGTAAGAGGCTTATTGGTGCATACATGCACATTTAATTTTAATATTAAATTATATTTACATGATAATTCCATGAGTCATCGGTTGCATTGGTAGAGATATAATCACTAACGATGTTAGTACATGTAGGCCATGTTTGATTAACAAAACTAATAGTGAAGGTATTAATAATCCCATCAAATTAGTGTGATATTCACTATCCTATTGGATTAGTTGGATAAATTATCCCATGCCTATTGTTTGATTTGCATTGGATAAGAAAACATATGAATGTAGGATTACAACTATATTTATCTTCTTTTCTAATCTTACCCTCCATCAATATTTTTTCACAATCTTTACTTTATCAAAAAAAATTTATAAACGTGGTTTTGAAAAAAATTATAAATAAATAAATAAAAGCAAAATAAAAATACAACGGCCATGTTTGGTTTTTTTTAATTTTCATTTTAAAAAATATAAACTAATTTGATAAAATAAATATCAAAAATTATTTTTAACCTTCTAAAATATAAAATTATATAAAATAATAAGTGTTTAAATTATTAGTCAAGGGTAAAAGAATCTTTTTATTTTATTTCCCAACTCACGATATATAATCTCACCTCTACCCCATTACTAATAATCCTACAAATTTGTTGGATTAATTATCCAGTGGATTAATAATCCTGAAACAAAATTTCAAAACAAATATAGAATTATTGGGCCCACGGATTAATAATTCTAATCACATACTCTAATCTTGTCAATCAAACATGCCTGTAACATAGTATTGGTTTAGATTACTACATTAACATTGAGATATATGAATTATGATGGTGACTTGCATTCATTTATTACAGAGTTATCATGTGCTGACCAAGGGTTTATCACTGTTCACATGTATTAAGTGCATTAACATGTAGCTTTATATCTCTAAACTTTTCATGTATTTGGATGTATATATGTAACAGTCCCATGTCGTGGCAGTGAATGGATGTGGAGTGTATTTGCTCTATATTTTGTGTTTATATACATAGATTATTAGACAACTTGTAAGGTTGTTTCTTATGGTGACGCTTTGGACTCACCTACTCATGTAGGGTTTGTCAGAGTGAACACAACTATCAGTCGAGAAGTTGTATCCTGGGGAGACAGGTCATAATATGAGATATTTTGTTGCACCAGGTGGTTATCGGATGTGACAGCTTTGCCAACCGAGAAGGGCTTAAATCTCCTAGAAGAAAATGAGATTACCGTGACTCAGTCCGATTTATTGTATACCCATATATTTCGCGATGTGATGTAGCCATTATCATTTTAGTGAAAGTTGAGGATGTGTAAATACATATTTGATATAGTAGACGAGAGTAGTAATCCATGGACGTAGGCGGAGATTGCAGAATCATATAAATTTTTTGCCCATATTTATCATTATTGGCTCCATTATATTTATTTATTTTTGGTTATTATACCAACAAGGCCATCTAAGAAACAACTTATCCAAATAAAAAAATAAAAAAAAATCCCATCTAAGAAACCAACACTACAGGTCCTTTTCCCCGCGTCAGCTGCTTTTTCTTCTCTTAGCAGAAGGGGGCTCAGAAGAGGGCAGAAAGCCCAATGATATTGCTGGATTCTAAAGATGCACTAAGGAACTACAGTTATAAAAAGAACAAGTGTTAATAATCACAAGTCACTAGTGTCGACTCCAGAATTTTTTGTTGGTGTCAATTAAAAATTTAAATTTCATAAAAGTGATATTATTACCCCTTTTTCAATATAATAAAAAAGTAAAAAACACACAAACACACACACACAATATTTTGTACTTATATGCAACTTTTTACACAAATATCAAATCTGCCCCTCCGAAGGGGGAAAAAAAATATTTAGGCTTAAGAGAAATAATAAAAAAAATTAACAAAAATTTGGCTTTATTGCAATTTTTCTTACTAAATAAAAAGTAGAGTGTTTATCGGGAGTGTGAACAAGCCAACTTTTCATAAATCCTATATCATATTTATTTTCAATAAATCAACAA